ATATATATCATATAAATCTTTTTTTTATATATATTTATCAAGTAGATTATTAAAATCAACATATATCCAAATCTTAGATATATAATTAATACATGTGTAAAAACTTTTGAGTTCAAATACACTTAGGTTTACATACAAGATCTTCATGGATTATAATTTTTGACTTTATATAATAACCTATTGTGCTCTCTCAATCTTCTCACCAAACAATTTTCAATTTCGATAATCTCTTCTACAAATTTTAATTCAGTTTTTCCATTAAAAAATATAATCGATTAATCACTTTTTCGATAGGTGAAATAGATTACGGTAATCTATTTTGGTTGTGTGATTAATAAAAAAAAAATCTAACTCAATTTTTTTTTGTTTTATTATTTACAACATATATATCATCACATCAACGACTACTTAACCAAAAAATATCAACTATTTAACATTAGACCAGTTAAATAGAAAATGTGTTTATTGTCATATAATAGTACGCCATATCAGAAAATGGGAGTAGGAGGCGAAAAATTTTAAAGAAATTTCAAAAAATGCCTCTTTTCAAGTGCCACTTTACAAAAATACCACATTTTTGAAATCTTTACAAAAATGCCACTTTTTCAAAATTATTTTTTCTTTATATTATTTATGTTTGGGTTAATTATGTTCTATTAGGTTTTAGTTATGAGGGTTTAGGGGGTTTTAGGGATCAAAACATTTTTTAGGGTTTAGAATTTTAAGATATATGTTTTATAAATCTATAATTAGTGACATTTTTTTTTTTTTACACCCCTAAGTGGCATTCTTGCAAATGTGCACACAAAAAGTGGCATTCTTGCAAATGTGCACACAAAAAGTGGCATTCTTGTAATCGTCCCAAAATTTTATGAATAATAATGAGATTATAGGAATTGACTTTTTTTACTTAATGAAAATGTTAGTGTATTTTATTTTATACCAATAAGAGTATTATTGTATTACTAATTACTTGATTAATGTCTAACTATAATTTGATTTTATTTTAACGCATGAAAATATGTGGATCATTTGCTTCTTGCAAATTTGGAAATCAATTATGTAAAATAAATCTTATTGAAATTTAAAATTTTAATTTGCAACTAAAAATATGAGATTCAATTCGTCAAGATTTTGGAAAAATAGATATATAAGTAGATACATAAAAGAAAAAACTTAATTTAATTAGGAATAGAAAAAAAACAAATTATTTAGAAATATGTAGCAAATTTAATTGGAAAGAAAATAATATAATAAAAAGAGTCAAAACACCGTGAGAGTTCTCTATAAGTGGTTTTGACTTTTGGTGTTTTGTTTTTTCATAGTCTGTA